TTTTCAACAAAGGATGTTATGCTTAGAGGGCAGAAAACATTTGTGAAATTGTGACAGTTTGCGACAAAGGGGAAGAACTGGGTAACAAAAAGCATGACAACATGCAGTTTGGCGAAAATAAAAAAGATTTCAAAACCGGCAGATTAAATATATTTACATTCTTTTCATCTCGTTCATCAATGTAAGCACCTATACAATCATTATTGTTGTGTTTACAAATGTCATTAAAACGCAAATATTACCTATAACATTTGAATTTGTTTCTGAATTATCTCAATGTAACGTATTCTGACATGCGATACAGAAGTATAGTAAGCATCGCCCTTGAGATAAAAGGGAGTAAAAATATTGATTTTAAAAAAAATTAGCAATTATTTATGGACATTCCCAAATAAGTACTTGCAGTGTCACTTCAATTTATTGAATAGCATAACTGAAAATGAATACATAAATACATACATGACAAGAACTGGATTGTGATTAGGAAAACAAGTAATGTTCAAGAACTTTGAAGGAAGGGATAAAGCAGTTTTAGGCAATCTAAAAGAGTTGTAAACATAACCCTTTATGAAATATGTGCTTAGATAGTACATAAAGTTAAGCTGTTGGAAAAGTTCATTACATCAGCTAAGAAGAAAAAATAATCTACCATATGTTAATGAATAGTTTTTATGTAAAAGTAGCAACGCTCCACGACAAATGTATTGATATTGACAGAACAATTCGTATTAACAAAACAATTTATTTTAACAAAACAAAAATATTTGAATGCAACTTCTTTTCAAAACTTTTAGGTAGAGTTGAATATGCTTACTTTGAAATGTATCATAATGAGTTTTTCTCAACTTTTGATGATGCACACTGGCCAAATGTTTTTTACGATTTTCAGCTCCATCTGCAAAGGATCTTTCACAGTAGTCACAATAGTACCTTTTCCCCATGGCCAATCAGATTTAACCACTCTGATAAAGTTCTACAAAAGTAAAACTAATTAATACAAATGAACATTAAAATTTATTAAAAGTTGATAGTAGTTTTGTGGTATGAGAATCAAAACCTGTGGTAGTGAAGAAAAGCGGTATTATGAAATCTATGCAAACTGACTAAACAGTAGCATAAACTAAGTCTGATAAAATAAAAGAGGAAGGAATACTGAAGAATCACATTCCTTTGTGAGCATTTAATAACCTCTTTAGTTTGAAAATTGTAAGTAAATAAGCAATGTACAGTAGCAATAAAATATCCTTCATCTGCCTTGAACATAAGAAAAAGAAGTTATGAAAGATAAATTCATCCACACACATATTTGAAAAAGAGTAAATGAAAAAAAATTTTGCAGAGGGAAAAAAATTTACATTTTATGACAGTTGGATATGCCGTAAAAATGTTGTGCTTGGCAGAATGAATGATATAGTTTCTAATACAGTTTTGACATCATACAAAAATAAAGTTTAGAAAGCATTTAAAATGATTAAAAAAAATTACTACAGATGTTTGAAAAGTGTAAAAAAGAAGATAATAATGAGATTTTAATAAAATGAGTTTTTTCTTAACCTAGTACAACTTTCATATTAGTATAATAGTCTACCAAAGTACTTGATAATTTTTTTAACACTGTTCTAAGTCAAATGATTGATAGAAAAAAGAATAAAGCTTATTCATACACAAAACTCACAAATTTTTTCCAACTGTAAATAAATAATAAAAGTAATTCATTTTCAAGTTCATTTTTGTGTATTATTGATTTCATTATTTTTTTTTTTTTTTAAATTTTGACCGACTATGGTATAATGAGCAATTAGCCACGGTATCCATGTTTTTGTTACCGACAAGTTTTACTATATGTCAACTAAATCACAGGTAAATGTTAACTCATTTAACCCATAAAGCTATCTAACTTATTTATTAATAGTGTTATTAGAAAAAACTGGTGTCAAAATAATGCACAAATGGGTCGAAATATTTTGTTAACAAAATTCAAGGTGATTTTAAAGATTGAAATGTGGCACACTTGAATTTAAGTAAACATTTATTAAAATAAATAAAAGCTAGTAATATTCCTAAACTTTTTGGGATCTTAATAATTTTCTTCTTGCACAAACTTTTCAATTTTTCAGGGGAAAATTTTACTGCAGGAGTTTTTATTTTAACCAAAAAGAATTTATGTATCTTCCTTTATTATTATTATTTTCTTTAAAAAAAAAAATAATAATAATTAGAAATCTGTGAGAAAGAAAATATCACAATTAAATTTTGTATTCATATCAATAAAATTTACAAATTACATACTAATCATAACTAATACTACAAATCCCATCATGAATTCACAATTATAAATAGCTTGCTAATTTTCCTAATCAAATATATAAAATAATGTTATATATGATATAAATATTTTTAAATTGTGTAAAAAAGTAAAATAAATATTACGAAAATAGTTTTTATTTTTAATAAAAAAAATAAGTTACTCCCAAACAAAATCCAAACTCAGGTTTTGACTAAAATGAAAGAGAAATATTATGTATTAAGTATTCCAAATGCACATCATCAAAGTAAATAAGTGACATCCTGTTTACAAAAAAAATTTTTTTTGCTTTTAACTCTCATTTATAACATAAAGAAATAACAAATTTTGGATGTATTTCTGCCAAATGCAAGATAAAAAATTCATTGATTCTAAATTTTAAATGCTTCTCAAAAAGAGCTTAATATACAATAATGGAAAAGAAACTTTCAGACTTTGAAATTTTTTTTTTTTTTTTTTAATTTCTCAAGAAATACTTGAGGATTATTTTGTAACTTTTGAAATGATTCAGTTTTGAAGAGAATTTCATGCGATTTTTCATATTTAGCAATAAGATATAAAGCTTTCAGAGGTTTGGAAGACCTACAATAAATTATGAAAGAAAATAAGTATTTTCGAACACCCTATGCCAGAAAATCAAGCAAAAAACTTGTAACTTGTATCGATTAGTTATTTTCAATAACTGCATAAAGTTTTGTAAACGTAGAGTAAATATTTATAGACATTTTATAAAAAGAAATTTTTCGTAACTTTATTAAATGGAACTAAGCAAAAAAATTTTGGAGAAATTTACCATAAGTTACAAATTTGTAGATTTAAAACTTTAAATAAATTTGTAAAAACTACGCTAGTATTTAAGCTAGTTCTTTTATACTGCGCATGCGCAGAAATTTTTTTAAAAGTTTTTCATAATTTTGAAAGGTGTTTGTAATTGGTAACTAATAATAAAAGCTTCATTTGAATATCTTAAAAATTTAAGAAGTTTCAAGCAATTTTATAAGAAGTTCCGTACCCTTTTAAAAGAAAGCTCAAAACAATAAGGGGTTTTCTACAAATTTCATCCTGTACTATTAAACAAGATTTATTATAAATGAGACCAGCATTGTGGGAAATCACCCCTCATAAAAGTATGTTTTCTTTCCCTATACCAAAGTTTACTTATGTTTTTTTTTTATGATTATTGTAAGGTATAATAATTTATTATTAAATTTTGTCTTATGATACAAAATAAAATTTGTGAAAAACCCCTGATTGTTTTGAGCTTTCTTTTGAAAAATACAAATACTATGAAGAAAATTGCTTAAAACTTTTTAAGATATTGAAATCAAATTTTTTTATTACTGGCCAAATATGATTCACTACAAAATTATGAAAAAACTTTTAAAAAATTTTTCAGTGCACATACAATATAAAAGAGCTACCTTAAATACTCTTAACTTGTGCAGTTTTAAATGAATTTTTTTTAAATTTTGTAATGAATCTTAAATTGCTCCAAAAATTTCCTTTCATTCCATTGAATATCTTAAAGTTATAATAAAAAAACGTAAAGCGAAAAAAATAATTTTTTTATAAGAATGTCCCTATTACCAAAAATATTTACTTCGGGTTCACAAAACTTTATGAAGTAACAACTAAATTAATTGGTACAAGTTATAAGCTTATTGCTTGATTTTTCGGGCATAGGGTGTTCAAAAATATTTGTTTTCTTAAGTAATTTAACCTCTGAAAGCTTTAAATTTTATTGCCAAGCATGAAAAATTGCATGAACTAATCAAACTTTACAAAATAATCCATTAAGCACTTCTGGAGAAATTTTAAAAAAATTTCAAAAACTGAAATTATCTTTTTCTATATTGTAGGGTAGTGTATGTAAATAACAACAATATTAAAAATGGATCACCCTTGTTAATTCTTTAACATTGAATTTAATTCCTAAAATAAATATCATTATCAGAATATTTTTTTTTAATTTATTGGATTTCAGTTGGTTGGCAAGTGTATGTCTTGTGAGTGACTGTAAATATATGAAAATTAATAAATTAAAAATTGCTACATTTGTATAAAAATAATATAGCTACAATGCTGAAGTAAGACTATTAGATACTAGATGTATTTTATTTCCATAAAAAAAATTACACAGAAATACATATTCCTAAAAAATACTTCTTCAAAAAATTGAACATGAAACAAATTATTTTGTTCTCTTAACATAGATCAAAACAATTTCACATTCATAAAGTATTTAATATAATTAGTAAAATATATTGTACAAACTTATTTTACTGATTCTATGAAGAACCTCTTATCATTTGAAATAATGAAATTCTATTAATTCACAACTCTGAACAGCCAGTAAGTCTAAGGACATACTGGACCGTATATAATATGGCTGGTAAGTTTAATGTGTTTCATCAGCTAAAAAACTCTTTTGCACATATCTTTTTTCTCTCTTTTTTTGAATAAAATTTGCTAAGTATAGCAGTTAACTTAGTTTAATAAATAAAGCAACGTAAATTTAATAATTGCTTTATACAAATATTAAAATGGGAAAAAATAATGAATGAATAAAATAATCAGCAACAAAGAAATGATTTTTAAAAAAAAAGGTAATTTAGCAATTTTCAAGACTTAATGGAAAACACATAAATAACATGGTTTCGCAATGATTCTCACAAACAATTAAGAAATAACAATGTGACGATGACATTGAAGTTTTATTGCAATTTAACTTGTAATAAAAAAACAAATAGCCAGCAGGTCAAAAGGTTATTTATTTATGAGCATTATGACGACTTAAAAACTTTAACATTAAAGGGGGCTAGTTTTCTTACACAGGGAAATCACAATCACTTATACAGTTAGCTTTGATAAATCACAAATAAAACATTTTGCATTACCCAAAGGTTAAAAAAAAAAAAAAAAAAAAAAAAAAAAAAAAAAAAAAATTCAAATAGTTCCTATTTTCTAAAACTAAATAAAGAACATTTCAAAATAAATATAAACTTTTCTTTTTGAAAATATAGAACAACCTGAAACCTCTTAAGGTACTTTACTGAACTACAGAAATTCCCTAAAGGGTTAACAGTATAAGGTTCAAGTTTGTGTTTATTTGCAGGCATGTAAGGCATACAGCATAGAAAAATCAGACCAGCTAAATCTTTTTGTTATAGGATTATACATGAAGCCTTCTGATGAAACTATTCGACAATCGAGTGATAAAAGCATATCACTCAACTCCGAAGAAGTGATAAATTTGTTCCAATCATGAGTGCCAGGCGGTAACACCCGTAAAACATATTCCCCTAAAAGAATATTTGTAATGTAAGATGCTGCAGTACGATTTGGTGTGGTGAAAAAAAGAGATCCACCCTCCTTTGTGATATCCACACAACATCCAAGAAAGGTTTTAACATCAGCAACATGTTCAATCACCTCACTACACACAACAGCATCAAACATTCCAGCATGACTCTCCCTAATATTTTCAATAGAGTCACAAATATACGTTACATTATCTTTGACATCTTCATTGATACTGGCATGTTCAACAGCAACTTCAATATTTTCTGCACCTGGATCTAGCCCAGTAACACTTGCACCTAATCTGGCTAATGGCTCTGACAAGATACCACCGCCGCAGCCAACGTCTATTATCTTAAAACCTTTTAAAGGGTGCGTATAATTATGTGAATATTTTGACATTAAAAGAAGACCGTCTCTAATGAAGGGCACTCTCACTGAGTTCATGGAAATCAAAGATTGATTATCATTCCACCAGAAAGTAGAAGCATTTTTCGTAAATTTATTCACTTCTTCTTTATTGACTGTTGAATAAGAGGCATTTACAGAGACCGAATTTAGTGCAGCGCATCCACATGCTTTTCTTCTCATAAAACGGACACAAAGAAAGCGAAATTGTGGCAACATCTGAAATACATTACATTGTCACTAAGGTAAACAAGTATATACAAATAACGAATATAAAATTAGGGTACAATACAGGAAAAAGTTAATGGGTCACAGAAAAAAGGGCCAATAATTTTTTAGCAAGAGTAATAAAAAAATGAGAAGAATTCTATACATACTTTCAAATAGTTAAACAATTAAGGAGGCAGGGCTATTATTTAGGAAAAGAAACGGTCTTGTTTATATTATTCTGGAGAAAAAAAAAACAGTTTAAACGCTTTCAACTACCTGTTTCTTTCCTACTTGAATCTCAACTCCAATTAGGGAACACTATGGCCGAGAGATAATATTTGGTTTGGCTGTTAATATCGCACTAGGGCTCGTTCTAGGGCACATGATGACTCGTTAGCCATTTTATAAATTTTTTTTTTATCTTAAACAAAATAATTACGAAACTTTAAAATATTGTTGGCTTTCGTGAGCAATATCAGAAAATTTTAGATTTTCTAATAATAAATTTATATGTTTTTATTCAGTTTACATCCAAATGGACTATGAGATAGATCAGAAAAATAATAATTTTGCTTCTTTATAAAAATTTTACAGCATCCTTACCTAAATGAACTACATTGAAGGTAATTTAAAGNGCTCCAATTTGAATTCTGTTTGCTGTATATTATTCAGAAAGGTGTGAATTTTTTTAATATCACAAAAAACAAAAACTCAAAATATTAAGGATTTTTCGTATTTTGAACGTCCATTGTCCCCTTAAACGTTTCTCAGTAATTTTCATATATGTACAGTAAGAAAATGCATAAATGAATAAATAAAATAGAGAAGTTGTTTTGAATAACTTTTGATCCAATAATCAGATTTTCTCGAAATATGTGCCAATCGAAAATATTAATGGTTCAAAAGCGCATCCTCCAAAATGCTAATTAATGCTTCATGTTTATTTCCCGTTCTGCGTATTTCACCATATCTCGAGAACTTTCAAGCAGATAAAAAACTTCTTGCACACATTTATAATTTCATGTAAAAAATAAACTTTTAAAATGTTTATTATTATTTTTATGAACTATTACTGAATTTATTAGTTTAATTTTCATTGGCAATATTTTGCGACTATGGAAGGATGGTTTGTTGCTGTAAAATTTCAAAAAGCCATATTTTTAAACTTTCATTTTTCTTGTCTATTTCATATCGCTGGTTCAAAGTTAAAACGACACTTCTACACTCACTTCTCATTCAAATAACATGAGAAGTGAGTGCAGAAGTGTCGTTTTAACTTTGAACCAGCGATATGGGCACTAAAATGATGCTATTTCTGATTATTCTCATAAATTTTTTTATTGTGAACTTCATTTATTACAGGTTCTAAGCGGATCATTTTTTACCTTTTGATCTTAGTCAGCTTTATTTGCCTACCTGGAATTATATCCACCGTTGGAAATGAGCACAGCTTTTTAAAGGGTAAATTAGTTAATTGGATTAAACTAACCAGTTGAAAAGTGATCGAAATTGTGATTGATGGTAAATTCTTTTAAGTGATAATAGGGCGATAAATTCTCTTTTTGCTGGAAGAAAATATTGACGCTTACATGATCATTTGTCACAGAACTCCAGTAAGGATTTAAGCTCTTTACTTAGTCGAAAAGCTGTCTAAATTTTGATTGCAAGATTCTATTCTCGATTACATGAAAGAAAGTGAGCAAAAAGGAAGCAATAACTAAATTATAAGTTTTATATTAATCATCTATGGATATAAAAGCCATACCAGCTTTCCTAATCCGCATCGAATATCACTAAATCACGAAATTTTCACATTTTATACAAAAAACTTACTAAATAGTAATGATTATAAGTAAAGTCATTTTTAGGATCCCTTGTTAAATAATTGAATAACAAGTTGTAAAAACGATGAAATAATTGATCTTTTGTTAATATGTATTATTAATCAGTAACATACATCGTACGACACTTCATCATAATGATAAAAAAAATGCAATTGAAAAGGTATACTATCATCATTATTGACTCAACAGCTCTGGGTGACCCTTGGCCTTTGATGGAACATTTCTTCATGCCGTTCTTCTTGTTTTCCGGTCCTGCCAGTTCAATATCTTAATTGTTTTAAAATATGTAACAACCATGTTACTCCGAGCCGCGATGGATCAGGGTATAGAGCAGGGATAGGCAAACTTTTTTGGTCAAGGGCCAAAATTCGAGAAAGAAAAAGTTTAGTGGGCCAAGTAAATACTTCTAAAATAAAAATAAAAAATACGATATACAAGTTTTAATTTAGATATTTAATGAGATGAATGAAATTGCGATTTTATTTCCTTATATTGAGGTTCGAAGTGAGATGTGCTTATTTTAAGGAACGAGGCTAAATGCTTGTCTATTAGTCCACTTCTAAAACGATTTTTTGTAAGGTTCCTAGTTGAAAACACTCGATCACTTATATAAAATGAAGCAAGCATAGCACTGATTTTCGGGACATGAGATCAAATTTTGGAAACTAACTTTGGGTAATGATTTGTAAAACTCAAACTTTGGCTTTTTAGAAACAACTGCTTCCGCTGATTGTTGGATTGCAACTCAATTAATTCAAGCTGCAAATCCGACCTCACTGTTTCACAATAATGCTGAAAGGCATGGTAAAAATATCTAATTCTGTTTGAATAGCACTGAAATCTTGAAATCAGCGTTCAAATTCAAAACAGAGTTTTTTCAAGCCATCTTCATAATTTCTAAGCTTCTCCTTATTTACTGAGGGTATTGAATTTAACCTCGAGAAATAAGACAAGTCGTTGTTAGCTAGCTGCCCAGAAAACAGATTAAGCTTCAGTTTAAAAGATTTAAGATGAGCCCAGATATCATTGATGAATTCATTTTTCCCTTGTGCCTTAACATTCAAGTTGTTCATCATTGAACGCATGGCACTCTAAATCAACTTTGCGTTTTTTAGTAGCTTTTAGGGGGGTTAAATAGCTTACAAATAAGTCAAAAAAGCACTAGCCATTTTATAAATTTAATAATTTTACGATTATTTACAATTGACACGTGTGTGTAATTTTTCCATATCCAATAAATGTTAGAACTCGCTCCGGCAGAAAAATCCACTCCTTGGAGATAAAATGCGCAGTCTGCCACATGTGAAGTGCAATTCACCTATCCTATAGTAAATTCCATATGTCTGCTCCTCGAGAAAGACAGACCCTCGTTGGAGCCAATCTACGTCTATTCTATAAAGAAGTCCTGCTTATAACATTTTACCAATTGAAGTTGTCTGTGCTAACTATTTCCATCAATTTATGCCTTGTAGAGGAAAAATAGAGAAAGTAAAAAGGTCATCAAAACTTTGTTAAAAAAGAGAGAACAAAAATTTTTTTTAAAACAAAGTAGACAAGAAAATGGATGTAAAATGTATATTATTTATATTCTTCACGGATCGGCGTATTAAAATTCTATCCGCGGTCCGGATAAAACCTATCGGCGGGCCACAGTTGGCCCGCGGGCCGTAGTTTCCCCATCCCTGGTATAGAGCGTTTGCCTTCCAATGAGGTGAACCGTGTTTCAATCTCCGCCGATGATTGGTCGATACGAATTCCGCATCCGGTTTGCTCCGATAACAGTGCTGACGTGAAATATCCTCAGTGGTAGACGGATCATGGGTTAGAGTCCCCTTGACGTCAGGCTAACCGTGGGTGGTTCTCATGGTCTTCCTCTCCGTGTAACGCAAATGTGGGTTAGTTCAATCAAAAAAATTTCTCCCAATACCTGATCTAGGAGTTCCCTTGTCTTCTGGATTGGGTTCAAAATTACAAGGCTACGGAGTTGAACATCAGTAGTCGTAAACCCAGAAATTGGGTCAGCTGTTCAACGACGGTAATAAAAAAATTATGCTACTCAAACAAAACGCATTACCAAAATTTCATTACTCTACAAAAAAAATTTTTGGTGTTAGGATTTTTATCCATTCGTGTATATTAAATAGTGATAATTAAGTTCTCGGCGTGTTTTTTCTTAAAAATAAGAAACTTCAACATATCTACCAAGCGAATGAATTCACTCTTTAAATTCATGTATCAGAATGTGTCAATTTACCTCACTCTATTATTTAATATGTTAGGATATTGAAATATTGTACGTTATCCATTCGAATTAAAGGGCTTTCTTTATCACTTTTAGAATCCTTGTTAAAAGTGAATTCCAAAAAGAGTGAAAATTCGGCGTAGAGAATTCCTATTTAAAAGATCAAAAACGTCATTAAAATATGCCATCCATCAAATAGGGTGCCATCCCCTCTGCAGAGAATCAAAATTGTGATGGCATGTCCACGGATCATCCTCAGAGATGTTTCTCAGACCGTCGCCAATAGCCCATCCTGCAGCTCTAGTGCGACGTAAATGAACTACAACAACATCCTAGTTTTATTATTTTACAGCTACCAAGTATAACGTTGGATTTTATGTTGCAGGGAATTATTCAGAGCACTGGCTCTGGAACTTCGAGGATTTTCAGTTATCTTTCATCGAAGCTGGTTGTTCTTTGCCGTTCAGCAACTGTGAATATCGACCATTCCATAGACGAATATTGTCGTACATTATTGTAAATGCTCTCACGTGCTTCATATGTGCCCTTATTTACTATCCAGGATATGTAGCAGGTTCGAACACTTTTCTATTCTCATTCTATCGATATATACATACTATGACACCTTGAAAGTTTTTCCTAATTCACTAAAATTAGATTTCTACTGTATGACGTTTATTATTTTCGATTATTCATTTCGTCGCATAAAAGCGTTTCTCGAAAAATAACCATTATTGATTCCGCGAGTGATGCATGCAATTAATTATCATAGCTGTCCTGAAAATATTTCGTGTTTGAAACATTTAAGTACTAAATGCAAATATGAAAAATAATTTTATTTATATTCGTGAAAATCTGCTTAAAATGATAACTTTTTTGACGTGGAATCACCTAAATTTAATTTTCTACAATAATTTAACCTCTATTGGGCTTATTATGACATTCCTAGCATTTTATTCCTTTAGAACGCGATAATCAATTTTAGATACGTTATACATCAGAATCCTGCTTGGTCTTTCCAACTAAAATTCTAAGTATTTGCAACAAACATTATTATATGGAAATTTTTGTAACATCTAACAACAATTCTCAGTCGCATGTTGCGCATCCATCTAAACAATACCTCCAAGAAGAGAGAAGGCCTCAGCACGGGATACCATAAACAGATTTTGATTTTAATTGTTTCCTAAATTACGATTTTTAAAAACTGAAAGAGTTTTTTTTCTTCATTACAATGTCATTCTATAATATTAATTGATTACTCTGTATTTTAAGATTGACTAATTTAAAATGGTGTCTAAATTTATTTCAGTCGACATGTTCCAAGCGCTCGAAATCAAGTGCGCATTTCCCAGACGTGAATGAGTAAAATAAAAGTGATTTGAAACATAAAACGAAAAGTTACCAACGAAAAAATGAAAAAATGAAGGGGAGAAACCAAACACCTTTCTCATCTTTATTTTTCTAATTTTTCGTTGGCAATATTTCGTTTCATGTTTTGAATCACCTATTTCTTCCTACTCTCTCCTAGCAAGTCTTGAAAATCCGCGCCTGTGTTTGAGCGCTTGAAACATATCGACACTTATTTTTTATTCACATATTTTTGAAACGAATGGAATTTTTAACCAGGTAATATTCAATCTATTTCTAATTCAATCTGATAAAAAAGAAGCAGTGTTTCGGCCTCGTCATTTGAATTCCTTTTTCATTTCGGTCCCACCCCAATTCGATTCACCCATTTATATATAGGCATTTCATTCCATTCCATTTCCTACTTTTTTACTATTGCTATTACGTAATTATGGCTCTAAAGTTTTACAATTATAGCGAATGAGTTTTTTTCAGTTTAAACAAAATATCATGAACTCAAGCATTTCGGCATATTTTAAAGTGACGGAAAAATAGGAATTTTAAATGGTATTTTAATCTCTAAAAGTTATTAAATCCAGGAAGGTGATAATTGAGCTTTGTGATAGTGTAGCTATGTGGAATAGACTTTGACGACAACCGTTTTTTAACGTATGAAGTCTAAAATTAAGCATTTAATAAATAAGGAAAAAAACTTGAATAAAACTTTTTTTTTTTTTTTGAAAAAAAAGTGCGATATTGCTCAGAATTACAGAATGCTAGAAATTTCCAATTATCTTTTTAAATAATCCTTAAGTTTGAAATACGAAAATACATGAAAAGTGATTTTTTTTTTTTTTGATGAAAAAAAGATATAAGGATCATTAGAAGAAACGTCCAGCTTTGTGAAAGAAAAAAAAAAGTAAAAAGCACGTGAAATCAAAATGGATTGAATGGATATAATTAAAATAGTTTTTAGTGTTCTAAATTTAGGCAATTGTTTTAATTTACTTTTTTTTTTCAGGACAGATATTGCCATTACCTCAAATCAATATTCAGACTTTCGTTAGAATCGGACGCCTCGAATTCGGAGTCTAGAAATATAAGAATTTTATTTTATTATTGTACCAAATTTATGAATTATTTAAGTGATAAAATAAATGTGATTAGTAAAGGTGAAATTATTATTTGACTACACAAGCTTATACAACTTTTTATTTCCGTCAGAGAATTTACATTCTTTCAGTAAATACGTTGTTCATAATTTCGAGCGAGGCATAACAGTGACCTTGGGTGAGCTTTGCGTCATACCTTGGTACCCTTGTGGCTGTTAACAACAGAATTGTCCGTAAAGAATCTCTCCTTAAACAATAAGACTTTTAATATATGAATAGGATCAATTTCAGTTTCAAAACAGAATAATAAAATAAAGAAGATTTTTTAAAAAAATGAAGCTTATCGGGTGTGAATTCCTTAGACGAGTTCACGGTACCATTGTAAATATTTTGATGAATTAATAAACTATTAGCAACTGACGCATCTTTTATCATATAATTTAAAAAGTGAATGTTTAATTGCTTTGTTACAGCTTTCACTCATTCCTTTACTATGTGAGACACTACTATGGGTTAATTTAATAATTAACTTTTTATTCATTAATTCAAAACCTCAGCTCGAAATTGTGTACCAAGATGAGTTAACGTGTACGACATTTGACCATAATGTGAAATGTAGTTAATTAAATGTTTACAAGTGTTTAAAAGTTAAATTTGCTAATTGATATAATACCTAGCGACGAGAAAAATGATCAATGAAGGTAAAAACATGGCCAACATTCTTAATTGGTCTCACAATGTTGATTGAGACAAATTGTCCAGGTCTTACGGTATGAAGCACGTCCACTTTGTTTTAAAACTAGCAGGTTTACTCGAAAAGTGCTTATGCTTCATGCAAAAATAGCAACACTACATGTATTATTACAACATCATTTCCAAAAATATCTATTCGAAACTAACTTATCAGTCTTTTGCACACCAGCAATAATCATGACAAATATTTAAAACTTTGGCAACAATTAGGAACAATTCGATGCTTTCAGTTGCATACATTAACAAAATACCATATAAAAATAAATTTTAGTTATATTTTGATTTAACAAAGAAGGATTGTTTAAAAGAGACACAATTTCTTCAATATTTCTATCCTTAGCTTGTTCAAGTTTAGAAGCTTCCATAAAAGTTTCTAACCGAGAGTCAACTTTATTTCAGGTTATTCTATTACCTAATCAGTAAAAGGTAAAACTATTTCAGAATCTCAAAAATAATATGCAGGTTGATTTAAATTAGGGCCAGGAGATCAACTAAACCAATCGGCCAAAAGATTCTCATAACCGGATAAAAGTACAAAATGAAATGAGGATTCGCTTAAAGCAAGAAATCAACGAGTAATAACATACACATTTGAAGTTATTTTTTGAGCCTTAATGGTTTGCTGTCTCTTAAAATAGTTTATAGTACAAATAAGATTTAAACGCTTTATAAATTGCAAACAATTCTGATTTTTTTGTTGAGGAATTTCGAAAAAGATTTACTGAAACTAGACAGTTTAACCCATCATGTTAATGCATCAGCACATCTGAAATTTCTAACTCTACTAGCATCTCTATGTTAGGGAAACATTTTAATTGAAATGAGACTTGCTGTTGTGTGTGCCTAGGTTTCGAACTTCAGGTGCGTTTGATACTGGAGTCGACATTCTGGAAAATTTACAAAAGAAAAGATTTTTAAGCATAGAGTGAACATAAAAATTAATTATTTCGTTTGTTTTGTGTTGAAAAATCAAATTTTTTTTTTACTCTGCATGTATTAGAACGTTGTGAGCGATAATTAATGTGAAATGAGGGAAGTACTATAATGAGAAAAGTATGACTAACTTCATCTTAAAGGTTCAAAGGGGTGATTTCAAATATGCTAATTAATAAGCACTGACGATATTTTAAGTTACGAAATCAGACACAAAAACGTACTTTCTCTAAATAAACATACCTTTCTTTCAACGGATTTGGATTCATGACCCCCAAAATATAAGGAAAAGCCTCAATCTTGGAAATATGGTCCCAATAGCTTGGTCAGGAAAGTTAACCAAAATTTGGACTCCTTAGTGTTAATGTTGCATTTTGCGTATTTCACCATATCTCGAGAAATTTTTAAGCGAATTGAAAATTTTTTACTCACAATTATTAAATTTGTTTAGCCACAGATAATTCCACGCGAAAAATAAATTTTAGTGAGTATTTATTGTTTTTTATTATTTATTTTAAACTGGTCGAAAAATTTTTGAATTGTAAGGTATGCAGTCCTTTACATGTTTTCGAAGAATGTAATTTTAAATGACAAAATACAAAATTTGAGTGAAATCGGTCGAATAGCTTCTGCGAAATCATAATTTGCAAAAATCGTATTCTTGCAAAAACCATTCGATCTGCTTGAAAGAGTAGTTGTTGTGTGGCGTTAAAGTGAGGAGTTTCGTTTCCATCGCTCTAAAGCATGCTTTCAAAAGGCTTAATGACGAAAAAAGACGAGATGTTTGAACACATCTTGCTACTGTCCTATACGGTAAAGTAAACGCGCCACAGGCTTCCACTAATCCTCGATAGCATTCTGTTGCATTTTTGCCACGGGCAACCTCGATTTTAAGCCACGGCCACTGAGCACCATTTGAAAGCATGCTTTAGAGCGATGGAAACGAAACTCCTCACTTTAACGCCACACAACAACTACCCTTCTAAGCAGGTGGACTGTTTTTTGCACTCTACACATCGACAACAGTGCCACCTCACCGCTCCCATATCTTATTTGCGCAGGCCCGCCCTTCTGTGAGTTTCAAGGTTAAGTTGCCACTATTTAATTTACAACCCTCGTAGAATATTAGAATAATTTATTGTTCACAGATAATTTGTTCAGTTTACAGATTACTCAGTTCAGAAACACCCCTAGTCTGTCACCTACCCAAAAATATTATAGATACATTAGTAAAAGTTAAATATTTTAATAAAATAAAACAATAAATTTTTTTTAAAAATGCATATCGTTGATTATAAACTCGGTGATTCTCACTTACTTAATAAGATAAAATAGTTTTCATATAAACACGTCATAAACTTCTTGGAAGAAGCTTCCAAATTTAATCGCTGTGAACAAAAGCAACTTTTTCTACAGCATCACATTTCCATACCGGTGAATGAGCGCGTATATTTTGTCCTAGTTACATGCTTGATCCAAGTTGATTGCGTCAACCGGACTTGAAAATTTTCTGTCATTCGCTCCGTAGCTGGTATTAGTTTAAAATTAGTCCTGCTTAATTTTTTAGTGAAGGGTGACTGAGATATTATAACGGAGAATGTTGTAGGTTTGTACTCCAAAGTTGATGAAGAAACTTATTACTTCCAAGCCTTACAAAATTTCTGATATCTTTGAACTCTCACGCAATAATGGTCCCCATTTGGGTGATTCCGTGATCTTTTTCGGGAAACCAGATTCAGAAAATGTATTGCTTTATTGAAATTACATAGATTAGTAGGGTTGTTTGCGCAATTTAGGCTTATGAACCTTTGTCAAGTAGAAGGACATATAGAACAATTTAGAGAAAGACATCACAAATAATACATCCAGGGTTACGACAGGATTCGAACCCAGCACCTACATGCTTCACACTGCGTTTGACGGGCTATACCGCTCAGCCAGATTGGCCCCTCAGCAAATTTAAGTAGTAGTAGTTGTTGCTTATTTACGTCACACTAGCGCTGCACAATGGGCTATTTTATTTTATTTTATAACCGTCGTTGAATAGCCGACCCAATTTTTCGGGTTTACGACTACTAATAACAAGCTTAAGCCCGTCCCGCCCCCGTAAGGGGGCATCCGGGGGCACTCCGAAAGTTCGAAGTGAGCGCAACAGTTCAATTACATGAGCAAACATATTCAAAATTTTCAAATTAGAGTTTTAACAAATAGGTGGAATATTAAATATGAAATCCAGAAAACGGTGCTACTTAGAAATAAACTAAGGAAACAAACACTACAAAGAAAATAAACAGTAACAATCAGAAGAGATATTGATGTCGCATCTTCAGTAGGGGTGCAAAGTTAATAAAAGGAAACAATTTCACATGGAAAATATAGGATGTTTGTAACTCAGAATATAATTATGGCTGGCACAACAGTACTAAAGTTATCAAATTCCAGTAATTATTATTATTATTTTTTTTAAAC